AAGAGATGGTTTGACATTTGAGACTGTGCAGCTGTCATGTATGAGAAAGGCTCCATGTAATTAGTTTCATAAAGCATATTTATGTGTCAGCCCTGTGACAGACTGGCGACCTGTCCAGGGTGTACCCCGCCTCTCGTCTGATGTCAGCTGGCATCGGCTCCACCATATAGCATATGTTTTTCCCCAAATTTAGGATGTATCAAGAAGAATTAATCAAACTATTTATCATCTTTTTGCAGTTTCACAGAACTAATGGGTTGAGTTAGGTTGTTGAGAAATTATTTCAGGTTTATGATGTTAGATAAGCCACTGATGTAGTAACTTTGAGTAAATTATGTGTGCATGCAGACAGATGGCCTGGTACAGTAGGTATTGGGTGAACACGGAGTCACGAACTTGGCCAGCTCCCCCCAGTCTGGAATCTGATGTGAACAAATAACAAATATGTCTTTGCTTACTGCTGTGTGTGCCAGTGTCTGACCATGTGTCATACCCTCTCTGTGCTCTAGGCCTCTGTATGTGTGTATAAAGAATGGAGATTTATCAATGTCTTTTCAGGGCTGACTGTTGGTCCTCATGCAGAGTTGAGGCTCTCTGTCCCATCATCATGTTTACAATAGTTTTTTTTAAAACCATTTTGCTCTTTTTACATTAGGCTACACATCATGTCTATTATCATGGTGATCTAAGCCATAAAGCCACCACACAAACCCCAATCTTTATATAGTATGTGGGGCTCACCTTTTATTTTCTCCCTAAAGTATCACAAAGCTGTCTTTTGCCATATGCAAAGCTGCTACCAGTCAGCCCACAGTTTCATGATGCAGCACTTATTGTCACTGTTAATGCTCTTTATTAAGAAGCCAGTTTTTCATTTTTGACTATTATGTCTACTGGTAGCGTGGATATTTCTGTGGTTCCTTTGTTACTTATCAATTACAGTCTTTTATAAAGTGATGAGGTGGAAGGAAAACGGTGGCAAAGTAATAATCAGCATGCCTACCATATAAGACTTAATAGCTCTATTTAAACTTCCATTTAGGTTACTGAGTCTTAAAAATCTAGTTTAAAAATGTCTTACTGTCCGAGAAAAAAGGAAGTGCTGTAATAATGAACACATTTCCTCTTGCAGCTATGAAGATGTTACCAGAAAGAATATCTGTGTAATGCTCTGAACAAATCAAAACCCAAAAGAACAAGTCAAGATCAGAAGGTAAAACGGCAGCTTAAACTTTACTGAGCAAACAGCTGAGACAAAGGTCAGTCAGGAGATAGCAAACAGTCCAGAGGAGTGAGACGAAGACAAGCTGAGGTCAGGCAGGTAATACAGACCACTGGAATGCAACAGCGAACTCGCAACTGGATCCTGAAGGTGGCTGGTATGCATGCTAAGAGGTTGATGAAGAGAGTGGGAACAGGTCAGTAGGTGGGCAGGGGGAAGTAACAGGATAATGTATGGTGGGAAACCGGGGTAATTGCAGGATGGTTGGTAATGGCCATCTGCAGGCATAAATATCCGAATGAATAGGATTATGACAATCCGCCCATTCATCACACTGGTTCTGTTCTTGTTCATGTGCTCTGGCAAATGTCCTTGAAGTTTGCATCTTTGCCAGCAGAGATTTGTTTCTCATGAGCAATAAAGGCTTTGCTAGGCCTTTGTTTGGTCCTGTATTGCACACATTGTGGTCCCTTCTGTGACTCAGCAGAGACTTGGTTCCCTCAGCTGGTTTCTGGCTTTACGTCAGAGTGAGAACACATTAGCATTTGTATTGTGAAAGAGGAAGATGAAAAGAAAACATTGTGCAAAGTTTTCACAGGTCTCTGAGATTTTTGTCCACTTCTGATGTGGTGAAAGACCTTTTCAGATCCAAATGGGGAACCTAGACAAACCTTGGGTGAATACAGGCTACAGCAATAACTAAAGACCTGTCCTAGGATTAGTTTAGATTCATTATAAACCTGTTGTTTCTACAGCCCCACAATTGTATCAACCAGCCCTCCCAGATATAAAACTGCATTGTTCTCTGTTGCTTTTGCTATATAGTGTTGCATGATCCTTTCCCATTGATCAGGTGATAGGGTTAGAATGTGGGAAAAAACCCTGGATACATTAACCTGAGTCTAATTAATCTCTTGCCTCACAGCAACAAGGTTCCGGGTTTGAGCCGGGGCCGACCCGGGGCCTTTCTGTGCAGAGTTTGCATGTTCTCCTTGTGCGGGTTCTCTCCGGCTACTCCGGCTTCATCCCACAGTCCAAAGACATGCAGCTTAGGTTGATTGGTGACTCTAAGACTACGTTCACACTGCAGGCTGAAGGGACTCAAATCCGATCTTTTTGCCCAAATGTGACCCATATCCGATTTCCTTATGACAGTGTGAACAGCACAAATCCGATTTTTTTCAAATCCGGCCCAGGCCACTTTCATATGTGGTCCTAAATCGGATACATATCCAATGTTTTGCAATGCGACTTCAGTCTGAATGGCCATGTCGCATTTCATGCGATTTTTATGTCATTGAAATGCGACAGACGTCATGCGGGTCACCTCATGACCGTATACCGTTCACACATGAGACAGATGGCAGTCGCATTTAAATGACAGTGTGAACAACAGCGCAAAAAATCCGATATGAGCATTAAGACCTGCAGTGTGAACGTAGTCTAAATTGTTTGTTGGTTGTTTGTCTACATGCCAGCCCTGTAATAGTCTGATGACCTGTCCAGGTTATACCCCACCTCTCGCCCAGTGTCAGCTGAGATTGGCTGCAGCGCCCCGAGACCCTATTCAGGAATAAGCGGTATAGGTAATGGATGGATGCATGGATATTGGTTGGATGAATCTTTTTGGCCATGCTAGCAGTGTGATCTGTGGTTCAGTGTCTTTACATCGTTACTGTGCTTTTATGCCAATAATCCCATCAGTGTAAAAGATACCTGATTTTGTGTTCTTAAAGCAATGCGTGCACAGTTGTTTCTTCACTCTGACAACATAAATATCACCCCTCCCATCTCTTAAATGTGTGATTAGAATATATTTATATTTAAGTGCATGCATGTGCAAGAAGTGGGCCTCACTGAGGACTGTTCTTCATCACAGAGGTAGGAAAGGAAGAATACATTCAGTGCTGGAAGTGTTTGTGTCAAGCAGCCTCTCAAAACCAGACTGCTATTATGCATTCAACATCAGTCTCACAGCTCTCCTACAGACTTTCTGTGCACACAGTGAAGATGTGTGAGAAAGTACCGATGGATTTTGAAAATCATCAGTTCTGCTTGTAGGGCCTGATACAGTTGTTCAGTCTGTATCCCTAATGCCTTTTGGACTAATTCAAAGGAATTTGGTGCAGTGAAGCACTAAGCATAACTTTTGTGCTTGTGCCAGCGCATGACATTTTTCAAGCTGTGGAGAAATCTATGAGTGCCGTTTTATCCTTATCAAGTCAGATCGGTTTCTATGATTCGTAACAGTGTGAAATGTCAGAAGACCCTTATCTGCAGTGACAACATTCAGTTTTACATGATTAAAAATACTGTAGTCTCTATGGTGCTGAGTGTTGTATGTTCTGCTACAGAATTCCAAGGAGTTTGAGTATGCAGCACCTTTTTATTGCTGCTGAATGTACAAGACATCTAGCGCTAGACTGGAAACTTTAAATTAACTTGACATTGAACATTTAGGCATATTTACTAGTGGTTCTGCCTACTGAGGTTCTCTTTATGTCTCCGTTAGTTATATTTAACATCACCTAGCTGCATGCCTGCCTGTTTCCTGTTAAGTCACATGATGTATGTAATTTATATTAATTTGCTGCATGCAGCTTCACCATAGCCTCTTTAAGTCCAGTGTTTGCATTACTTTATACAAACCCTGGACATTTAATTTAGGCTTCCAAAGGAGGACCTTTATGTCAGGAATTAGCTGAGAAGATTGATACCACTTCTATATTGCTTTGCTAAATGGCTTGAGCCAGGATGCATTAGCCTGCTACTAGAAGCAGAGCAACCAGCTAGAGCCAAGCTCACTCCAAAATATGCCTGCTAGCACCTCTACATCTCACTAACTAATATTCTTGTCTTGTTTAATCATACAAATGTTAAAAAAAGATGCATTCTTACATGGAGTTAGAGCTGTTTCCCCTCTTAGCTAAGCTAAGTAGAGCCTGCACAGCTGCATGCTAGGACTATAAATTGAATGGACTGCTACAAATATACAAAGTGACATCTAATATATGTATCAGTACAATAGACTTGTCTTTTTAGTCATTGCACTTAGTATAAAAACTAACTGTTGTAAAAATAACCTGGACACATTCAACAATTAACTAAAACCTTCAAAATATGACATTTTACCATGACAGCAGTCTTGTTTCTCCACCTGAAGTGTATACTTACATAATTATGATATTTTTACATAGGAGCACAGTGGGTGGTAGCTTTGTACACTGCAACTTTGTGCTGCTACAATGGAAATGCCTGCAGAATGGCATACTTCACTGCTGTCATGTCAGGCTAATGAGTTATCAAGAGCAGGTAGGATGTATGAATTAGACAGGATGCCAAGGCCACACACACACACAAGCAGTGCTCCAAGGTGGACGCTTTGAGGTGTTTGGTTTAGTTAATGCTGCTGTTGTGTGTGTTTGCTGTGGCTGTCTCTGCAGGGGCATTTATTTATGCACTACGAAAGGAGAACAGCTGGAAAGTACAACCACACACACAGGTGGAAGTGGTGCCTCTGCCATGGGACTCTTTCTCTTTTCAAAGTCCCTAAAAGGAAGAAAAGACAGTGAAAAGAAAACGTGTGTGTGTGTGTGTGTGTGTGAGATCCAAAGCTGGAGTTTTAGGCAAAGCAAACTCTCTGTCAAAGCCGCTCATGTGCACAGAGACATTCTTTGTGAAAAACATGCTTTTTAAAACAAGTTGCAAGCAAATATGTGTATTATAGTGTATCTGAAACGGAAGCAAAACTTAATATTGTCTCTGTTGTTTTTCCTAGTTTATAATAGAAGACATGAAGCAGCAGCAAACCAACAAACACAGCAACCTGCACCATGAAGACCAGCACATCACTGTGGAGGAGCTGTGGAAGGGCTGGAAGTCCTCTGAAGGTAAAGCAGAGTTCACTGATAACATTAACACAGTTACAGCCCTGTGGACAATTGTTCAAGTGAAGTGGCCCTTGTAGCAGCAATACACCTACTGATTAGACCCACAGACCTTTGTCAGGCTGCACAGAGTGCACCAGTCCTCTTTATCTAAATACACCATATCACATGACGCAGGTGTGGTTTCCCAGAAGTAATCAGCACATAGGACATCCTCTTCACAGACTCCTGACTGTTCCTGTAATGGTTTAACAAACCCTCACTGACTGTGCATTTAGTGGAATACTTGTTGGCTCCTTTTGAAAATTCAAGTGGACTGCATGTGAGGACAGTCATGCACATGTAAGGATATTTTTACCCTGAATGCATACACTCATTTGCTTAAAACCCTTTGCCACCGTGTGCTCATGTGCGTTTCATCATTTGCTTTTACTGTTTTAATTACCAGGCTAGTTTTTGACACAGAGAGGTTTATAGATTTACTGCACTTATTACATCCTCAGACACTTATTTCCTCCACTTCTCCTAAATTTGACCACTTCTGATGATCAATGACGTAAAAGCTTTATTTCCAAAAGCCTAAAAACCTAATGGTAATTTGTGGAGCAGAACAGTTTTTTGCCAATCAGTCCTCATACAACCCTACAAATCATCTCGATCTAGAGTGCTGAAGTTGGCACTGGACTTTCTTGGGGTTCTTGGAAGATGTTTGACCTCTCCTCTGAGAAGCTTCTGCAGCTCTGAGTCCCAGGTATTTAACCTCTGTGGACTTTTTAACACCCTGAGGGCCATTGATGCCATGTTGTTTGGGTCGCATGAGTCAGCGTGTGGATGGATGTTAAATTGCCTGGGGACTGATGTCAGGACTTCAGCTGTAAGTGGATGATAAGCAGTGCTGTGACCATTGCTTAGTGATGGTTGTTCCAGTTTGGTGTAAATGGCTTCTTTCATTTAACTTTCAAACCATTTGTCTTCTCTTGCCAAGTCATCCACTTACTACCTTATGGCCCACTTACAGTGGAGTCCTCACATCTGGCCAACCTCAAGGAGTTGACTGCTCCACAGAAGGTAAATACCTGGGACTCCTCACCCATCAGTCCCAGTTTAAGAAGCTTCTCGGAAGACAGGTGAAACCTCTTCAATTTAAACCCCTGATTTGGGAACCACAAGTTAAAAATTACTTAACTGTACTGTATATGAAGTAGTTAAAAGTATCTATACTTTGACGAGCTAGAACAGTAAAATACTGCTTAAGCGTATGCCTACCGGCCCAACAGGGCCACCTCAGACGCCATCGCGGCTGCAATCCACTATTCCCTTTCTCACCTGGAAAATGGAGACTCCTACATCAGGATACTCTTCATTGACTACAGCTCTGCCTTCAACACAGTTGTCCCCCACAAACTGTCCACACTAGGTCTGTACCCCACCCTCTGTGACTGGCTCCTGGACTTTCTGACTGGCAGGCCCCAGACTGTCAGGACTGGCAATAGGACTTCAGCCAGCATTATCACAAACATCGGCACCCCACAGGGATGTGTCCTCAGCCCCATCCTCTACACCCTGTTCACTCACGACTGTGTCGCCTCCCACAAAGACAACATAATCCTGAAGTTCGCGGACGACACCACAGTGATAGGTTGCATCACTGGCGGGGACGAAGCAGTCTACAGGAGGGAGGTGGCCGGTCTGGTGTCATGGTGCAAGGACAATAATCTCAGCCCCAACACGGACAAGACGAAGGAGATGATAGTGGACATGAGGAAGGAGAGGAGAACTCATCAGTCACTGTTTATCCGGGGGCTCGAAGTGTAAAGGGTGAGCAGCTTCAAATACCTGGGCGTCCACATCAGTGAGGACCTCACTTGAACACTTAACACCACACAGCTGGTCAAGCTTGTGCTAGATATATCGGGCTCACCTCCACGCACAGCTTGGGCTCTGGAACTTTACTCCTCGAGAGAGGCTGGACTCTCTACTACTCTGGAGTTGCCCGCGGTGAGAGGCGGTGGGCTGGTGTGGGCTTGCTCATAGCCCCCCAGCTTAGCCGCCATGTGTTGGAGTTTAAAAAAATGAGGCCTTGTGTGAATATGCAGGAACACTGAATAACACTGTGATGAGCATCTCTCAACAGGTGACATCAAGGAACAGGACACTGCTGCACCTGATGCAGCATTGGGAAGCTAGGTCAACAGAAAACATCAAATCCAACTGGTCTTTTCCTAGGTGGAAGGGACCATACAAGGTAGCAGAGATAACCACACTTTCACACAATGTGTGGTTAACAGAGAACAGGAGAAATGACCGACCAGACTTTGGACTCTAAACTCTGACTGACTGTACCTGGTGGCCACAATGACTGACTGACTTGAAACTGTGACTATCTCCTTGGTCTAACAATGTATATATTCAATTGCAGGAGGAGCGATTCTCCCAGAATTTGTGGGGGGGACCAACTAACGTGCTTTATTCCACAGGCAGAGGAAAGCGCTGCTGTTATTGTGATATAAAACTAACACTATGACTAACTGTTGTAAATAATTTGTTTCAAATGTTTCCAGGATACTGCGGAGTTGCCTTTATATGTCTGATTATGTGTTCCATGTTTGTCTTGATGTTTGTGCTGTCTGATGTTTGTTGTGTTGGATAAATACGGCCAATTGAGCAGTAGTTAATGGACAAAGAAAAATCTAAGTTAAAGCTGTAGAGCAAAGTCTATACTGTTTATGGTTTGGTTCATTCAGCTGATTGAAGAGCATTAAAATGAATTAGTTTGACTGTGAGGCCATGGAGAAGGACTATCGGTCGGCCTCGAAGAGATTCTGGCAAACCGTCCGGCGCCTCAGGAGGGGGAAGCAGTGCCCTGCCGAAACTGTTTACAGTGGGGGAGGGCAGCTGTTGACCTCAACTGGGGATATTGTTGGACGGTGGAAGGAATACTTCGAGGATCTCCTCAATCCCGGCGCCATGTCTTCCGATGAGGAAGCAGAGGCTGAGGGCTCAGAGGTGGACTCGTCCATCACCCAAGCTGAAGTCATTGAGGTAGTTAAGAAGCTCCTCGGTGGCAAGGCACCGGGGGTGGATGAGATCCGCCCTGAGTACCTCAAGTCTCTGGATGTTGTTGGGCTGTCTTGGTTGACACGCCTCTGCAACGTCGCATGGCGGTCGGGGACAGTGCCTCTGGACTGGCAGACCGGGGTGGTGGTCCCTCTTTTTAAGAAGGGGGACCGGAGGGTGTGTTCCAACCATAGGGGGATCACACTCCTCAGTTCAAGTATCTTGGGGTCTTGTTCACGAGTGAGGGAAGGATGTCATACATGTTTTCCACTTGCTTATTCTTAATGTCCTATGTCAGTAGCCCTTTATAAAAGCAATAGATAAATGTATGAAAGTAATGACTTCCCTTGTCTCTGTCCCTTCACCAGTCCACAACTGGACCATGGAGGACACAGTGCAGTGGCTGAAAGAGTCGGTGGAGCTGCCGCAGTATGAGAGGAACTTCCGGGACTTCCAGGTCACGGGGAACACCTTACCTCGGTTAGCACAACTTGCCTTTACTTCATTGCTCACAGCAGTGGTGCAACACAACCTGTGTATCCCTGCATCAGCAACATTCACAACACTACACTGTCATTTTTCTTTGCCTCTAGTAAAGATGTTTCTTTTTTTTATTTTGTTTTGGCTGTTGGTGACCAGTGAAGGGTGTTATATGAGCAGTAGCATTATTATCTTTGTTAGAATCCCCAAGGCACCTATAGTTTTTATTACTCTGTGTAGTGCTGCCCACTGCTGGTCATACGAGGCAACATGACCAGGAGAATCTTCTCCTCTCTCAGGTTTCTCAGGACTTTTGTTTCAGTGCCAGATCAGTTTTCATTACATGATCTTAAATGGAACCATCTAAACGAACAATTTGTTAAATTACACTTTTAAAAAGTGGATTGGGAATTCCTTTGTGCAGCACAGTGAAGCTCAAACTGTTAACCAGATAATCTGCATGCTGACATTACAGAAGAAACTGAGACGCTGGTGGGACACTTGCTGACTGCATGTACAGCATGAGTAGCTTGGAGGGCCAGGGGGAGGGTAAACGAGGGGGGTTTGATATTACCCCATGGGGCTCATAGCCGCTGACTCATGAAGTGACGCCACAGGGAAGGAGTACAGTTTCCACAGGCTGCCATGTTAGAGCTGTTTAAGATGGTGGCGGCATGTGGGCAGACAGTAGCATCACAACTATCTGGTGTCGGAGTGATCTTCATACATCCAGGACAGTGTGTGCAGCTGCTTGTGCATCCTACACACAGGCACACAATCCTACCTGTACTTTTTAGTAGAATTTCAGTGACATGTGGTCAGTCAGTCTAACAAATCTTGTTTCTCTGTCTGTACTCTATGTAAGGCTCTTTAATGGTCACCCAACACAGAAGTTACAATTTTCTCTGGGGCAGTAACTAAACAGACTTTTAAATGCAGGAGTCAAAACAGTTATTTAATGTACATACGAGACATTTCAAATAATCACTCCACACCAAAATAAATGAATTCTGACTTTTTTTCCCTCTCTTCTCATTTCAGAATAGCAGCAAATGAACCATCGTTTATGTCGATGCAGCTTAAGATATTAGACCAGCGGCATAAACAGAAACTAAACCTCAAGGCACTAGATGCAGTGCTCTTTGGCCCTCCTCTTCGTAAGTATGCACGCTTTTCAAAGAGAATCATCATTCATTAATGTCAAATACATATTAATACCAATTTATGACAGCTCTGGCATCCCACACAATTTGGGTGGTTGGAACAATTCTATCAAATGTAGAGTATTTGTAAAAACCACCAGTCCTCCTCACTTTCTGTCCTCTCTCTGCAGGTCCGCAACATAACTGGATGAAAGACTTCATCCTGATGGTTTCCATAGTGATCGGTGTCGGGGGCTGCTGGTTTGCCTATGTGCAGAACAAGTCCAGCAAGGTGCACATCTCTAAGATGATGAAGGATCTGGAAAGCCTGCAACATGCTGAACAAAGCCTCTTTGACCTGCAGAGTCGGTAACCACAGATTTATCAGATTTGGATTAATGTGTGAAAGAGCAGAGTAATGTACACCAAGATATAGAGATGGAGGTTAGATGTTCAGTCTATGTAAAGATGATTTAAGATTACTACACATTAAACTGCATCAACTTGTCTGATTTCCCCTCGTCTCCCAGGCTGGAAAAAGCTCAGGAGGAGAACCGGACGGTGGCAGTGGAGAAGCAGAACCTCGAGCAGAAAATGAGGGACGAGATCGCCGGGGCCAAAAAGGAGGCTCACAGGCTCAGAGAGCTGCGAGAGGGTGCTGAATGTGAGCTCAGCCGGCTCAAATATGCTGAGGAGGAGCTGGTACAGGTAGGGGTTAATAGACTGCGTGTTGTTACTTGTAAACAGATTTGTCATTATTCAAATGTTGCACAGTATTTACATATCCTACCAGAAGATGAATATATTCATTACTGCTGCTAAAATTCAAAGTCATTGCCTTGAATCGAAAAGACTGATTTATTATTTTTCATGTACAATTTTCATTTCTTTCACAAAGTATTGCCTTTGCATATCCACAAGATTACTTCCCTAGAAATTACTCTCCTTTGCATAAAAAATACAGCACCAATGTACTGTAAGAGTTACTGTAGGTCAGGAGTTCTCCACCAGCAGGCGGGTCAGGATTGGATTAAATGCAGCTCATTTAAAATTCAAAGACCGACTATTCACCCACACTTGGTGTATCTGATCAGCGATCTCATGGGGAAAGTTTGAATATTTGACAGTGAATTTAACCCGTCCCCAGTCACTGACGTATCATGTTTTTCCCGTGTAGGTGCGAAAGGCTCTGAAGCGAGCAGAGAAGGAGATGATGTCGGAGTGGTCGGTGCCTGAAGCTCTGCAGAAGTGGCTCCAGCTCACACATGAGGTGGAAGTTCAATACTACAACATCAAGAAACAGAATGCTGAGTTTCAGCTGTGCGTCGCCAAAGAAGAGGTAACTTTTTTTTTTTTAACTGTAGGATTGCAATCATTTAGCATGGATGCTCCTACATGAAGCAATTTACTGAGGATTGAACGTGTAGGTAGGATTACAGAGTACTTGTCAGGACACAACTTGCTGTAGGAATATCCTGGGACACTTTGCCTGCTATGCTTTGGCTTTAGTGTTATTTTTCACAGATGAGGTATTGAGGTGCTTTTCTGTTTATTCAGCAGGCACATACAGTGTGTACTGGAAATGACCAGTGGGAAGAGACAAGTGTTCTCAGAGGTTACTCAGTGTTTGATTTGCAGAAATTTGAACTCCCATCAGTCGTCATGTTGACTGCTACACGCAGCTATTGTAGAAGTGCTGGGGTGCAGAGAGAGCTCAGTGTGTCAGTCTGCTCGCTAGTATACAGCCAGTGTTGTTAAAAAGCAGGTCCAAGTTTGATTGCAGCAGCTTTCACTGTATTTGGATACTTAGTATAGTTTGTAATAGTGGAAATTATTACTCACATAATCATGACTGTAATATTGTGGCTGATGAGTTGAAGATAGCAGTTTTCAAAACTGATTTATAAATACCAGCTTGTCAAATGCAATTGTATGCATTTCTAATATAGGTATATGATGGTACCCGTTTCTTTATCAATCAGAGTAATTAAGTGTTTCCTCACTTGTTTGTTTACTGCCAGGCTTGTTGAAATTTGGTGAGAAATTCTCATGCAAATTTATATCAAACCTTCAAGTGAAGGTGGGCTAACCCTTAAAACCATAATACTTAAATTATATTTGCTGTACAGAGGTGATGACTTGCAGTTAAGCTTCTAAACAAAATAACACTTTGAAACGAGTTTGTGTGTGTTTTGCATTTCAGGCAGAGAAAATAAAAAAGAAGAGAGGGTCTGTTTTTGGAACTCTTCATGTAGCCCACAGTTCATCGCTGGATGAGGTGGACCACAAGATACTAGAGGCAAAGTAAGACTCACACACAACTATAGCTAGAAGTATACTTAAATGGCTATAGTAATGTACATACATACACAAATACATGGCATTGTTTACGCTGAGATTAACTTCAGTTTAGCTAAACTGCTCCCTCAGACCCACCTGTTACGTGCTGCTATAATGTTTCTTGGACACCAGAAGTTTTATTCCATACAATATTTGCTATAGTCACATTACCATATGACACTGAGATAAAGAGAACCAGGCAGCTTGTGTACTAAAACTGAAGTCAGACACAGAAACCTTGATGAGCTTAATAAGTAGCTGAGTTTTAATGCCAACATACTTTTCATTAACCTGTTCTTTCAGGAAAGCCCTGTCAGAGGTCACGGCATGCCTGAGGGAAAGGCTTCATCGCTGGCAGCAGATTGAGAAGATCTGCGGCTTCCCTGTTGTCAATAACTCGGGCTTGTCGACACTCACAGCCAGCCTCTACTCCGACCACAGCTGGGTAGTCATGCCACGAATGTCAGTGCCGCCCTACCCTATTGCAGGAGGAGTGGATGACCTGGATGAGGATACGCCTCCCATCATTCCACAGTTCACGTGTAAGTACGCCAGCAGAGGGTTGACTGCTTTGTACTCAAACAGGTAGAGAATTGTAATAAAAGTTAGGCGTTGTCTCTCCCCCAGCAACTACCATCATCCGGCCCACGCTGACGCGCAGCAGCAGCTTGTGTCGTTCCCGCCGGAGCCTGCTGAGCTCCCCACAGTCTTCGCTGATGTCTGCAGACCCTGACCTGCTGTCCATGGCCAGCTCGTCTCTCTCTTATCACACTGAGGCAGACGATGAACATATCAAGTTCAGCTTAGACAGGAGGGGGTATGTATCTGTGGAACGGTTTAACAAGTTTAGACTCAGAGGTTTTTTGTCCAGACATTCATCCTGATTGTAACATTTCTCACTGGATGTCTGTGGAGGATACATGATTTACCTCAACTGGAAGCTGCACAGACACCATAATTAGTTCATGTCTAGCATGTATGATACTGTTACGAATACAGGTACTAAAAATATCAAGAAATGTTCTACTGGTTGATATTCCTATGTCTGATGTTCTATCAGGGAACCAGTGCCCGAGGACAGCGCCGACCCAGACTCCCACAACTCTTCCACAGGCGCAAGCAGCTTCACAACCCCTGCACGCCGGGCGCGGAGACCCCATATCGTAAGATATCCAGAGAGGAGCTGCTGCTGTTCAGCCAGAGTCCAGAGCTTCCTGTGTCCACCTCCACTACCCACACCAGCAGCAGCAGCCTCCGGGACTCCACACCTCTTTATTGTCTGCTAACTTCGGCCTGCTATCTTACTCACTATATTACTTTACCTGTACAACTGCTGCAACAACGACTACTATATTACCATTCTGGTTCATATCTTCTTCCACACCATTCAACATATTCAAAACATCCAAGCAAGCACCAATACACTCACCTTAATTATTATTATTATCATCAGAGTGATCGGAGTGTGTGCGCGCATGCGTAGAGATCAAAGGAACCAGATTTCACGTGACGTCACTACTGCGCACCACAAAAGGGGCAAACCTCCGAGGTTTATTTCAGAAGATCGAACTATACTAACACAGACGAAGTGCCTTCGTCGGTTTTTAAAACGGCACCAAAACTCAAAGGGAAAACTAAAGCGCCAAAGGCACCCACAGTGCCAGTCAGCCTTACAAAGGGTACCGTCCTCCAACGACATAGAGAGGCTTCAACAAGAGCTAGACAAAGTCCAGAAGGAAAGGGGGATACATGTTTTGCCTCAACTGGAAGCTGCACAGACACCATAATTAGTTCATGTCTAGCATGTATGATACTGTTACGAATACAGGTATTAAAAATATCAAGAAATGTTCTACTGGTTGATATTCCTATGTCTGATGTTCTATCAGGGAACCAGTGCCCGAGGACAGCGCCGACCCAGACTCCCACAACTCTTCCACAGGCGCAAGCAGCTTCACAACCCCTGCACGCCGGGCGCGGAGACCCCATATCGTAAGATATCCAGAGAGGAGCTGCTGCTGTTCAGCCAGAGTCCAGAGCTTCCTGTGTCCACCTCCACTACCCACACCAGCAGCAGCAGCCTCAGGGACTCCACACCTCCTCTGCCTCCTACCCCGTCCAGCCCGCCTTCCACCTCACCCTCCCCAGCCTTGGAGCACCACTCGTTTGCACGCAAAGGCTCGCCTGACCTCACCTGTGTCATACCCGAGTCCCAAAGCTTAACATTCTCACAGGGGAACGTCACATCCCCCATGGGAAAGGGCATGTACAATGGCATTCTGGAGAAGTCCTACAGCTTTGGCCAGCTGCCTGTGAGCATGTTGGCCAATGTGGGGCGTAAACCATCTCTTACCTCCCTAGACTCAGAGGGCCGCAGTGTGGGAAGGGATTACAAGCTCCAGAGCACGTCCTCCCAGGACTCCAGTGACAACGGTGAGAAAACCAGACGCTCTTCTTCTAAAATTAAAAGCCTGTTTAAGAAAAAGAAAACTTGAAGAGTACGACAGTGAGAAATAAATTAGACCCAATACTAAACAGTGGACATCACTGTAAGCTAACACTTCATTTTCTCTCTTAAGTTTCTTCCTTTTGTCATGAAAGATGGAATGTAGCTCAGACTGGGGGCCTTATTTTTCAATAATGCCGTTTTATTTAGTTCACTCTTAGCTTCAGTGGGAACCTGCAGAGGTCAACGAAAGGTCAGAGGTCACACCCGTTGTTTAATGTTCTTTTGAATTCAAAGCAAAAAGCCATTATGTTTAAGGGTTTGAAGATGCAGCTCAAATTCAATTTTAAGCACATAGTCAAGTGTTTCACTGTTTATTACAGAAAATGTAAAAAATGTTTGCTGTTCCTACCAAAAGGATTTAAAGGATTTGATATTGGTAGTATTTTCAACAGACTCGTGTCTCAATCTCCAACGTGGATTAGCCTGTGCTGTAGACCTCCATTGTTGTTCAGAAAACCATCAGTGAAACACAGCGCAGCACTGGGCGACATGTTTGTTCACTATGAAACGCAAGACCTGAATATTTATTACAAAGCCAAATATGCAGGTCTGATGTTTCATAATGAAGAAACATGTCACCCGGGGAGTGGTGTGTTTCTCTGATGTGTTTTTGTTTTTTTTTTAATCATTTTTGACCAACGGACGTCTATGGCACAGGTGAACAAGATAATCCATGCTGGAGCCTGACGGACATTAATTGTGAGTAGACAATTCATTTCTGGTTTTACTCCCTGTTGTTGAAAATATTTAGACCTTATCCTTTCAATGACACTTTCAGCAGTGACAGCAGCACATCATCAATAACACCCAGAAAAGAAATAATCCTAAGATTTCTAAAACATATTTTTGACAATTTTTCTCAAATGTCCTAACTACTACGTCTGGTTTATATTATGAATTGTATCTTTTGAAATCCTGCTAAAAGTTGGTTGCACTACTGTTTCCCTGGTATTTCAGTTAAGAGCCGCTACTTGCGGAGTACCTATTAATTAAAGACATAAAGAGGAATACAGGGGCGGTGGCAGTGAAGACGCAGCACTTAATGCCAGAGCCAAAATTATCTGATGCTTCTTCAGTGCCACTGTTTATGGATGTCTCAAGATAAAGATATAGAAGTATAAACTGTTTTAACATTATGTTCTTGTAGATGTTTTTAAAATAGATTTATTTTGGTGGGGGTTCCTATGAACTGATCCTTACTGAAGACTTTTATTGAATATGCAAATTAAACCCACACCAGTCATTTTTCCTGTAATCTAGCCATATCAACATACGCTGTCCATGTTTTTGTCTTAAATACTTCTGTACCTTTCTAACATTTGGTGTCACTACCATATTCTGGTGGTTGGAGCGCTGTATTCAAAGACAGATGTGTGCCAGGGAGTCTAAAGACAATTGCAGGAATTAAAATGCAGTTTCTGTATTGTCTGTCCCAGGATTTTTTTATGACAAACATTAAGGATATAACAAGGAACTTTTTGATTGAAATCTGATTGATAGACCAAGACCTGCCCCTAAGCTCAAAGTCGACCCATGCAATACAGGCTTGTTGCTCACCTCTGGGCATTATACCGAGCGCACTGATGTCAAGAGCTCCTGCTTCACACTGTGATTTTTGCCTTCTTCCCTTCATCCTGGACCCGTCTGTCATTGCTGCACCTTAACGCAGCAGGTCACATGATGCCATATACGAGGCGAATCTGGTAGACAGGACAACAAGATGACCAGGATCCAGTGGCCTCTGCTTTTACAGAAAAGATATATACGTTTAGAATGTCGTGGACAATACAACACCCAAATGAAGAAACCAGAAGACAGAACTACAAGACAAGGATATAATGAATGTTTACAAGACTAGTGGTTTTTGAAAACATTTTGTGTGTGAATATTTGTATACTGTAGAAGCATTAATAAAAAAATGGAGGCAGTGGACATGTTTCAGAGTTGTGTTTGCTGCCATGTTTCTCACACAAATGGAAGGACAAAATATTTTCTATTTGGAAAAAGTTTCCAGGAGAGGGTCGGACCCCAATTTTACCTGAAAAATACCACATATGGTATTATTGTTTTAAGCATTATAATCGTGTTTGGTCGATGTATGACAGACTTGTGTGTTAGAGTAAAGAGGAAGTGGTGTGGTGGGAGGAGATTAGGGGAAATCAAATATAAAATAAAAAAAATTCTGAAAACTGCTCACTTTAAGATGTTCTTTGGTTGGGGACACTTCTCCCTGAAGCTTCCCTCCAACATGCACAATCACAGGCCCATTGTCTCCACTCACTCTTGAACATGCACTAAAATAAAATTGCAATCAAAAGATGTACAGTGTTTCTTAAATTCTACAAGGTTGACTAGTAAAGTTGTCAGTTTTCAAATGGCCCTTAAAATGACTGAACACCCACGTGCAGTCTGAAAAGCAGAACTACTATGATGAAGCCTAATTGGATATTTTAGAGAATTGTTTAACCTACTGCTATAAAATTGAATACCAATGCACAGAAGTTACTTAATCAAACATTTTAATTATTCACGTATTAAATGTCGACATCAAAAGCAAAACAAGACTGCGTAGAGTACCTGGATGGAAAGTCTGGTTTCTTTGCAGCTTCAAGGAAGAACCCCAGAGCCATGGATGCCTTGTTTTTGGAGGATCAGGATCTGTGACAACACATTTAGAGTTAACTCAGTCGGCTACTCAAAGGTGCTTACAAGTTTATCCACAGTGAATTAAAAGATAATTCTATTTGCCAGCTGTACTATCAACTTGCTGTGTTTCACTTGAGATCAATGAAGGTCAATCAATATGTAGTTATGACAATGTTTGCCATAAACATTATAGGACACGAAGTTTTTACTAAAGCTTCATTATCATACAGTAGGTGAAACACTACAGTTCATTCTGACCCTGAGTACAAACATGGTGGATACAAATGCAGAGTGAAAGCAAGATGCTAATATGCAAACCTTACAGCTGCTGTCTTAAAACACCATATATCAAACTAGGAAGCTTGTGAGTGGAAAAAAAATGGGTCAGATTGAAACAAAGAATGAAGTGTTGGCACATATTTGACTTAGTTTGACAACAGAAGTTGACACTGTAAACGTTCTGAATGTTAAAAACTTGTTACTCTAACTTAAAATAAGTTCAGAAAAGTAAAAGACGTTCTCTCAGATTTATCTTTCCAGCCACTGCTGTATGATCGGTTCAACTAAAGATATTCCTCTGTTTTATTTAGGTAGTTTTCAGAGAAATACTGGTGTCCAGTTATTCACATGAAACAAAATCTAAGGCTAAAGGCCAAGTCTGACAAGCCTTCAGATTTAAAACTGCTTTAGAGGATGAATAAGAGCATGTTCTGTGTGTACATTTACTGCAGAAGAAGTCTTACTGTCATCATCTTCCCTCCAGCTCCCCTTCATGTCATACTCCTGTTCCAGGTTCGGTGGCTCTGAGGCGGTCAGATGCTACAGCTCAGGACGCTTCATCCGTTCATGACACCTGAAGAGTGTAAACAGGTGGATAAGAGACAGGGGCTGCAGGTTTCTACAGCTTTAACTTGATCATGTATCCAGATGCCAAAGGACTGGAGCTGGTTCTGCTGTGCCAGTTAAAGAGACTTCAAACTGTCAAAGGATCAAAAGCTTGTATTGACAGCTGGGTCAGATGTGTCACCTGTCCTAAGTTATTTCTCCGCCCTGTGTCAGCCTGGACAAAAAGCTTTCAGATGCTCCAAGACAAATGAGACCGATACGATCAAAAGCTCCAGAAAAACTACTAAATGGAACTTGTGATGAGATTGTTTTCTCAACATTATTATTAGTTGCAGACTTATTTAGAAGTCGAAATAAAGCCCATCTGCCATGTTTAAGCATTGATAGTAAAGAAATGACATTCAAACACTCATCACTAAAGATATCAGCAGAGGGAAATAAAAAAGCAAAGTGACAGGCTTCGTGTGTGTAACAACACTAATCAGGTGTTAATGGTAACGTTACCTGGGCACGTGGTTCACATTGTAAGGAACCAACCCAACTTTGTGTCTCTCCAGTAGAGTGTTCTCGTTTATCTTCATGGTGCTAAAACAGACACAAACACCACCAGGACCGATAACAATAAACTGAATTCAACCCTTGTACATCTCATCAATATATTACAACAGTTTGATACCGAATCACAAGATGAGACCATTCTTCCTACAGATGTATTAAGGGGAAAAGGTAGAAGATTTTTCAATGTCTGTATTGTGAGAACGTTTTTTCATAACGTTAATTGTTATTTTTCCCACTGAATGTTACTCGCCTGGCAAATTTGGCTTTCTTCTGGGGTTGCTTCTACGTTCTGGGGTCCACTGCACATGGGAACTAGGGGACAGTGGGGGACAACGCTGAACTTTCTCAGTACCACATACCACAGTAAGGCATATTTTTCAGGAGGCGGTCAGACCCCTTTATTAATCTTTTTAATGGTCTACATTTGTGTCCATAAGTATTTGGACTGTGACAGTTTGTGTAATTTTGCCTCCATACTCCACCACAATGAATCTGAAATGAAGCAGTTTATTTATGGGGCCTGTGGTGGTGCGTGTGCAGCAACGCTTTGTTAAAATGCGCTACCTGCTGGCTACAGATGGAAAGGACTTGCCTGGAATGTGTCCGTGCTCTTCAGGCACCGGGTGGCCGTCATGATGTTGGACTCTGTGAGCTGGGATCCACGTCTCTGGCACCATCTTAAAGTCTTCCTCTACGTTCCATATGAAGCCTGAGAAGGAACAAAAACAAAAATATTCTAAACATCCCTGGAAACACAAAGCAGACCATGGCAAAATAAATCAGACACCAACTCTATTTACTTTAGAAAAAGCTAGAGGAATAATAAATAAGGTCCTTTACCATGTACCAAACAAGTCATTTGATAAATGACTAAAATTCCAAGATTTGGTGAAACACAGATTATTACATATCATATATAAAATAGTCAGTAAATTAATAAAAGGTAATATCCAAATGGTGTTCAAGATGAAAAAAATTTAGATGAGCGTCTATGTTTAAAAGTAGTACGAATATGTTAACAGATGTCTTTCAGTTACTCTGATGATTTGACAAGGTGTGACAGTAAATTTAATATATTGATAAAATAGTTTACTTAATGGATATATATTAAAAAAAAAA